TATATATATATATATATATATATATATATATATATATATATATATATTTGGTCAGACAAGATCAAGACTTCGACAATCTGATCCTGTGTTTTAATTTTTTCACACATTTGAACATAGTAGAACTTTGGGAAAAAAAGTCTCCACGTGACAATTCTCAAAACAAAGCTTCAGGGCTAGCTACATCAAAATTCCCTTGCCAAATAGTAAAGCACCTGTGTCCTTTACAATAAGAATGAGGTTTATTGACTGACAAACAGAATTTAGGGCTGAGGCCTAGAAAGGAAGGATATGTAATAGACATAAGTTCTATTCACTGAGAGACAAAGCCCAGGACTAGGGCCTAAACAATACTCAGAATATTGTGTGTGGGAAGGGGTGGAGTGGGGCTTCAGTTGGAGGTTGCTAATAGAATAGCAAAGGATCCCCAGGTAGTTTGATCCTGTCATTCCAGCATTCCAGGTGATCAGGCATTTCTTTCCATTAAAGAAAATAGGCCCATGTGATTGACTGACAATTCTGGTTTTCCCCAATGTATTTTCTAAGCTGCACTTCCTGCAGACATCTATGGCTACAATGGAAGTATATGGGAGGAGATGAGAGAATGAAAATAAACGTTCATGTGCAGGGGATGTGGTTCAAGTCTTTGGATTTAAAAACAAGTTCCCAGAGAAGCTGCTGCCATGGAATATTCAAGAAGCTTCCTTTGCCTCCCAACATGGACCCAAAATGCCCCAATCCAAATGTATGAAAACTATAATTGTGAGATGCTATATACAATCAAAGCAGTCAGACAGAGGAGTGTGTCGTCCCCTTAGTTACAGTTCATAACATAGCCTCTTTAGCAATTGGTGGATCAGTAAAAGCCACTGAAGCACTGGAATTGCTTTAAAGCATGGGGTAAAGAGTACTGACCAAATACTCTGTAAAAACCAGCAACAGGACGTCATGACTAGGAAATTTTCTAAACAGCAAAATGACTTCAGGATAGATTTCTTTGACATTAAATGTAGCAGAATTAAAAAAAATTTACAAGTAGATATAGTGACAACAGAAAATTACAAGGCAGAGAACACGCACACACAAAAGAATCAAGACAGTGCTGTAGGCTCAACAGTATTCCATGAGGCTAGAAGATCTGTTAACTTTGTTAACTAGCAAAATATCACTCTTGTTTGTTTATAAATCACCTATTGATCATATGACCACACCATGTTGAATCCTTTTCTTTCTTTGTACTGGAGACTCCTACAGTTGGCCTTTAAGCATTCTGCATTTCTTTGCCAATCTTGTAACTGAGTATCTTGTTCCAGTCGATTTTGGTGCGGGTAACTGGAAGCTGCCGGCGCAAGGCCTTGAACGTGGTGTCTGACATTGTCTGATAGTTTTCACTAATTGCTGTCTGATACTCATTTTCTGCACTCTCTATGATTTTAATAAACTCCTTGGCAGTTTGGACTTCATTAGAAACAGTGACTGAATTTTGTACATCTTTATGACTGACCAACTGAACATTGCCATCTTCATAGTAATGAACCTGAATCTTGAGTACTCCAACCACCTGGGCTGTAGGTGGTGTGATGGTGAACTTCCACTCTGACCTCCAACGACCATTCCAGAAGTTTTTGGGCTGAAACTGGTGGCTTTCAATACATGCAATAATGATCTGTTGCCCATCTATAGTTTTAGCATAAACAGTAGAGAAGCCGTTGGAATAGTGCTCTTTCACATAGGCTCTTAAAGCACTGTCACAGGATTCTCTCCAAGACTTCAAGCCTCCGTCCACATCTTCTGGCTGGGGGTCACTCGCTTCTTTCCATAAATGATCAAACTTAAAGGAAATTTTGTGTCTTGGATCTAAAAATTTGCTGTTACCAATGTTGCCGTGCTCTGTAATTAAGACCTGGTCATCATAGCCTTCTATCTGCATAGGTGTGAACTGATCCATGTTATACTGAGCAAATGTATGTGCTGCCCCTTCCCTGAGGAGATTGTCATTATTAAGCAGTAGCCGAACATCATTGAATACTTCATTAAACTCCCCAGGGGGTGCATGAGTGATAAATTTAGGGGCTATGCGTACTTTCTCCTCATCTGACATCCGATCCTCGAAGTCGGCCATCTTGGCTGCTCTCTGAAATATATATTCTTATTTATTCCTTTTTCAACCCAACTGCTATTGCCTCTCCTTCCTTTCCTCCCAGTATCCCCAACCTCCTTTCTTCCCTACAACCATCCACCCACCATTCCTTTCAGTTTCTGTTTAGAGGAGGGCAGTCCTTCTACAGATATCAACCAAACATGGCATATCAAGATGAAGGCATGAAGGCTGGACAAAGCCACCAAATATGATAATAAAAGTCCCAAAGGCAGGCAAAGGAGTCAGAGAGAGCACCTGCTCCCACTGTTAAGAGTCCCATAAGAAGACCAAGCTACACAACTGCAAAAGGCTTAGGTCAGCTCCATGTAAGATTTCTTATTATTGGTTCAGTCTTTGTGAGCTCCTATGAGCCCACGTTAGCTGATTCTGTGGATTTTCTTGTGTCGTCCTTGACTCTTCTGACTCTTAGAATCCTTCCTCCCCATCTTCTGCAGGATCCCCCAAGGTTTACCTTGGCTGTGGGTCTCTGCATATGCTTCCATACATTGCTGAATGAAGCCTCAAATTTGAAATATTTTAATACATGAAAGCTCTAAAATTTGCTTGCGTCCTTGCAATCCTATTTTTGCTTTTGGCAATACCAAACACAGGGATGCTCAGCAGAACTCCTCGTCTCAAGTCTCCATTTACATTTGGTTAATAGATGTGTTTGTTTGTTTTCTTGATTTTTATTTTTTTTACCATATTGTCCTTGATTTGCCTTCAAATTCTCCATTTATTTACTGTGTTACAGCCAATGTCTTATAAGACTATTCAATACATTTTAAATTTTATTCTTTTAATTCTAAGTGTATAAATTTTTCTATTTTTCTAGAAATAGAATAAAGTAGAATTTAAAAACAAATGTTAGACATAGGTTAAGGCCAGTTGCTACATTGATCACCTTGAATGCAGTTGCAGCTTTGTGTGACTATACATCACAATTTATTAATGTTGAAACTTTAATCTTGTTCATTTCATTTGACATTAGTACTATGAACTTTTCTCTTAACATTGCTTTCATACCTTCTTCTCAGCACCTCATGAAACCTTCTCTAAAATTGACCACATACTTGGTCACAAAGCAAACCTCAACAGATACAAAAAAAATGGAATAAATCTCTGTATCTTATCAGATCTCCATAGCTTAAAGTTAGAATTTAATGACACAAATTTCAGAAAGCCTACAAACTCACGGAATATGACTCACTACTGGGTCAAGGAAGAAATGAAAAAATTAAAGACTTCCTAGAATTCAATGAAAATGAATATATAAATATCCAAACTTACAAGACACTATAAAAGCAGTGTTAAGAGGAAAGTTCATAGTACTAAATATCTACATAAAGAAGTTTGGGGAATCTCACGCTAGTGAATTAATAGCATACTTGAAAGCTATAGAACAAAAAGAAGCAAACTCACCCAGGAGACATAGATGCAAGGAAACAATCAAATTGGGGCCTGAAATCAATAAAATAGAAATAAATAGAACAATGCAAAGAATCACTGAAAAAAAAGAGTTGTTTTTTGAGAAAACCTACAAGCTAGACAAACCCTTATCCAAACTAGCCGAAAAGCAGAGAGAGAATATCCAAATTAACAAAATCAGAAATAAAAATGGGAACAAAACGAGAGAACCTGTGGAAATCCAGTGAATCATAGGGTCATACTTGAAAACCTGTACTCTACAAAATTGGAAAGCTAAAAAAAAAAATAGATACACATACCAAAAGTAAATCAAGACCAGATAAACAATTTAAACAGACATATAATTCCTAAGAAAATAGAAGCAGTAATTAAAAGTCTCCTAACAAAAAAAGAAAGAAAAGAAAAGAAAAAAGAAAATGGAAAAAAAGTCCAGGACCAGATGGTTTCAGCACAGAATACTATGAATATTTCAAAGAAAAACTAATACCAATACTTCTCAAATTGTTTCACATAATAGAAACAGAAGGAACATTGCCAAACTCCTGTTATGAGGCTACAGTTGCCCTGTTACCCAAACCATACAAACATACAACAGAAAAAAGAGAACTAGAGGCCAATCTCCCTCATGAACATTGATGAAAAAAAAAAACTCAATAAAATACTGTCAAATCGAATCCAAGAACACGTCAAAAAACATCATCAACTGTGATCCAGTACTCTTCATCCCAGAGATGCAGAACTGGCTAAACAAATAAAAACATGTCAGTGTAATTCACCACATAGACAAACTGAAAAAACGCTGCATAATCATCTCACTAGATGCTGAAAAAGTATTTGAAAAAGTCTAACACTCATTCATGATAAAAGTCTTGGAAAACTCAGGGATATAAGGAACATGCCTAAACATAATAAAGGCAATATAAAGAAAGTCAACGTCCAGCATCAAATAAATGAAGAGAAACTCAAAGCAATTCCACTAAAATCAGAAATAATACAAGGCTATCCACTCTCTCCATATCTGTTCACTATAGTACTTGAAGTTCTAGTTAGATTAATAAGACAGCAAGGGTATCAAGGAGATACAAATTGGAAAGAAAAAAGTCCAACTTTTATTTGCAGATGCTATGATAGTATACATAACTGACCCCAAAAAATTCTACCACAGGACTCTTACAGCTGATAAACACCTTTAGTAATATAGTAGGAATCAAGATTGACTCAAAAAATCGGTAACCCTCCTATATACAGATGTTAAACCAGCTGAGAAAGAAATCAGAGAAATATCATCCTATACAATAGCCACAAATATAAAATATTTTGGTGTACTCTAACCAATCAAGTGAAAGAGCTGTATGAAAAGAATTTTCAGTTTTGAAGAGAGATATTGAAGGTTGTATCAGAAAATAGAAAGATCCTTCATACTCTTGGATAGAACATAATAAAAATCACAATCTTACCAAAAGCAATCCACAGATTCAATGCAATCCCCATCAAAATTCCAACACAATTCTTCAGACCTCACAAGAATAATACTCAACTTTATATAGAAAAACAAGAAATTCAATATAACTAAACTAAAACAATTCTATACAATAAAGTAACTTCTGGAGGCATCACCATCCCTACTTCAAGTTCTACTATATAGTTATAGTAATAAAAACAGTTCGGTATTGGCATAGGAATAGAAATGTGAACCAATGAAATTGAACTGAAGACACTGACAAAAATCCACACACCTATGAACACCTGGTTTTTGACAAAGAAGTCAAAATTTTACAATGGAAAAAAGAAAGCATATCAACAAGTAGTGCTGGCATCACAGGGTAGCAGCATGTAGAAGATTGCAAATAGATCTATATTTATCACCATGCACAAAATTCAAGTCCAAGTAGACCAAAGACCTTAACATAAATCCAGTTACACTGAACCTGATAGAAGAGAAAGTAGGAAGTGGGCCTTAAATGTATTGGCACAGGAGATCACTTCCTAAATATAACATTTGAAGCACAGACACTGAAAGAAACAATCAATAAATGGTACCTCCTGAAACTTAAAAGCTTCTATGAGGCAAAGGACACACTAAATAAGACAAAACAACACCTTTTCCCTAATTATAACTCCAGGAGCACAGACACTGAAAGCAACAATAAATAAATTTGACCTTATGAAACTGAGAAGTTTCTGTAAGGCAAAGGACACAATCAATAAGACAAAATGATGGCCCACTGAATAGGAAAATATCTTCACCAACCCCACATTTGACAGAGGGCTGATCTCCAAAATGTATAAAGAACTCAAGAAATTAGACATTAAAAAACAAAATAATCCAATTTAAAGAAGGAGTAAAGATCTAAACAGAGAATTCTCAGCAGGAGATTCTCAAATGGCTGAAAGACATTTAAGGAATTGCTCAACATCCTTAATCATCACGGAAATTTAAATCAAAACAACTCTAAGATTCCACCTGTCAAAATGACTAAGATCAAAAGTACTGAGTATAACTTATGTTGGAGAGGATGTGGAGTAAGGGGAACACTCCTCCACTGCTGGTGTGAGTGCAAACTTGTACAGCCACTTCAGAAATCAGTATGACAATTTCTCAGAAATTTGGGATTCAATCTACCTCAAGACCTAGTGATACCACTCTTGAGCATATACCCAAAGGATGTTCAATCATAACACAAGGACACTCACTCAACTATGTTCATAGCAGCATTATTTGTAATAACCAGAACCTGGAAACAACCAAGATGTCCCACAACTGAAGAATGGAGAAAGAAAATGTGCTCCATTTATGCAATGGAGTATTACTAGGCTGTAAAAAACAATGTCATCATAAAATTTCAAGGCAAATGGATAGAATTAGGGAAAAAAAATCATCCTTAGTGAGGTAACCCAAACTCAAATAGGTAAACTCATTTTTTTATGTTCACACTCATAAGTGAATAGTAGATGTAAAGCAAAGGATAACCAGACTATAATCCACAGCTTCAGAGAGCTAAGTAACAAGGAGGACCATAGTAGGGACTCATTGATCTCCCTGGAAAGGGGAATTAGATGAGATATCCTGGGTAAATTGGGGGCAAGGAGGGATGATAGAGGGGAGGGGATGTGGAATAAGAAAATGAGGGAATGGGATGGTCAAGTTGGTGAGGGATGGAGTGGGGGAGCAATGAAAGAGAAATCTTGATAGAGGGGGACATTACAGGGTTATACAGAAACTTGGTGCTCAAGAAATTTTCAGGAACCCACAAGGATGACCTCAGGAAAAATTCCTACCAATAGTGAAGAGGTTGTCTGAACTGGCCATGCTCTGTAATCAGATTGGCGAATACCTCAACTTTCATCATAGAGCCTTCATTCAGCAATTGATAGAACCAGATGCAGAGATCCACAATCAAGCATCATACCAAATTTTGGGAGTCTAATAGAAGAGAGGGAAAAAGGATTATATGACAAAGGAGGTCAAGATCATGATGGGGACATCTACAGAGACAGCTGAACAAAACTCATGGGAGCTCACAAACTCTGGACAGACATCTGTAAAGCCTGCATGGAACC